CACACACACACACACACACACACACACACACACACACGTTTGATATATTTAGCGAAAGCGAAAAAGAGAATTGTAGGAATGAAATCAAATCTATACGGTATATACATATCTGCATCGAAACTTTGAACTTTATTTTTCATAATTAAGATTTGCCAGGTATGCGAGCCCGGCGATCACAACGAGATATAGTTTCCATAATGCACGATTCTTTTAATGACGAACTTAGAAAAGAAGGATTGCGCTCACTCGTAGAAAAGAAAAAAAAAAAAAGAGAGGAAAAAGAGAACGAAATGACTAACGTAACTCTCCCACGCACGCTCTCGCTCGTACTCACGCACTCTCGCACGCACACATGCATCTTTGTCCGGAACTATGGAATCCTGACGCAATTCGTTCGTTCCGCTCGCAATAGGTACGCGCGGTGTTGTACTAATTGCTAGCTTATCTAATTAGTCGGATAAGGCGGCACACCGTTGTTTGAGAGCGACGCGAAGTCACGAAACGATCCTCGTTTCTTCGCCTCCGGTGTCGCGCTACATACAAGTGTGTCGTTTTATTGCGTCATTCGTATGTGCCGCGACCGCGTTTCACGCCAACAACGTCTACAATAAAATCCCGGACGCTGCAGCTGTGACGTCACTCGCGCGCTCCCGGGAATAATCGAGAGCTCCTTTGAATTGATTGCGAGGTTTCGGAATAGAACGTCGAGCGACGAAAAATTAATAATCAGCTGCAATAGCAACAGCGAGGAATAATAATCCTCTTTAATCATTCTCAACAAATGACGTCACAGCTAGGAATTTTCATATTACACTAAGAGAAAAATGTATTAAATTTTAGTAAATATTTGTTCGAATAGCGCCAGTTGAAAATATTTACTAAATATAAACATATATTTAATATGAGAATTACTGATTTGATTTATTAATTTTTATTTAACAAATATTTCTTTTCTGTAAATAAATGTTATATTATTCAATTATTTATTAAAATTTAGTACATTTTCCTCTCGATATACGGATGGATTTCTCTCTCTCATATCTCCATCCTCGCGAAATAAATCACGCGACAATGGAACACCATCTCGTGCAACGCACGCGTACAGGCGAGCATGTACGTGCGAATACAATGTATGTAACATCAACAGCGTGTCTCTCCTCTAGCGATCGATAGCGATAAGTATAAGCTATGCACTAAAACATGCACAGAGAAAGGGATATAAAGTTAAACGTTATCTACTATTATATAGATTCACGCGGTCCTTGTTTCCTCTCTCGTCCGTTTTTTTTCCTTTTTTTTAATTTTCTCCCGGGGATTCCCCGCAAAGTGGACATCACTTAAATCTTTGACATTTTCGCGTCTCTTCGTTAATACTCCAGTGCGTTTACCCTAAACGATACAACGATCGAAATCCCGTAGAGATGTCTCTTTACCTCGTAAGTCTTTTAATTCCGCTAATGAATTTCAAAATCGATCTATCCTTAACATACAATTTCATAAATAGACATAGTTCCACCAGTTACGGAATTTACACAATGAATATCAGTTCGATTCTCACGATACAGCTTCGTCAACATAAACGTCTTTATGTAAAGCTCCAGTTCTTCTTGCTTATTTCCATTTTTCATCGAATCGAACGGACGACAGTATCTTTAGGATTAAGAACGCAGCTGTCGGAAACTAAATCGAGCTAAGCTATCAATGATCTCGCCTCGCATCAATCGACTGATCTGCTCGTTGCGCTCTTCATGAAAAAATAAATGAGATCATTGTGTCTCTCTCCTCCTCTCGTGACGATTGTTCTCCTAATACTTCCGCCATGCAAAGGCATCGATAATCGTTGATCGACCGCGAATACGCGATTTATATCCGTTTCATCAATGTAAATTAATCTCGATTTAATCTCGATTTAATCTTCATCTCTTTCTAGTTCTTAGAACCAGAAAAAGATGAAGAGTAGGTTGAACCAAGATAAAAATTTAATCTACATTGATGGAAACGGGAATTGCTTATTCGAAGTGGACTGTTAGGGTTGTCACAAATTCCTCATCCTCCATCTTCAGAAAAATCTGCAAATTTCCAGATTTTTCTAATCGTTTTCAATTTCCCTAACATTTTCCTGATTTCCAGTTTTGTGACAACCTTGACTGTGTAATCCTGGAGCAGGACTTGATTGTCCACGTCTAACAACTCGAAAAGTATCTTCGTTGATACTCACGTATTCTTCTCTCTTTCTCTTTCTCTCTACTTTCGCACATGCTCGGTTTTTATATCCTCATGCGAAGTCTGTGCTATTGCGCTAAAAAAAAAACGTGCCGAATCTAAAAAATTTGTAAACCCTGTAAATTAATTCGTGACAATGTGGAGATCTTCCCATTTAACTCTCAGAGAGACTTTTTTTTTGTTTGGAAAGTTACGACAGCAACGACCCGCCTTCGTCGCGCTCGGTGACTCCGGGTTTCTTTGCGGGTGGCATTCTGATTCTAACGGAAAGCTTCCATTTATAGAATGTCGACGGGAGGTTCTCGTGCGTCGCGTGAGATAACGATTCAACGTTGTAAATCGATAGACGAGCAAGATTCACAAGACTCGCCGTTTAACTCGTAGGTAACCAGTAGGTAACCAGCGGTAGAATCTTGAAGACAGACATTATTATGTTCCCAGCTTTGAGAATTAAAAAGTCTCCGCGATACCGTTCTTTGAATTCGAACGGCAAACTTATGTTTAATAATGCAGACTCGAACAAGTGGCTGTCATACAATAATTACAAACTAATTAACTATTGTGATACTCGTGTGTTTACGGTATCCCAGGCACGTTGCAAAGATCCTCTTTATTATGCCAAGCTACAGTCGTTATCTCTATAGGGATATTAAACTGTAAATCCTCCGGTGCCACTCGCAAACAAACTCTAATTACATAAAACAAATAATTTCACTATTAAACAATTGTACTAAAACTTTATTAGATCTTTCTTTCTCGTTTAACGCTACAATCGAGTCAACAACAAGCTACTCGATATTAACATTACTCGGAATTAATTAACACAGACTTCTTATATAATTCGATCAAAATAATCCGCGCGAAATGACGAATGATGATTTGCTAAATTAACTCTTCAAATACCGTACGAACGTGTAATTAGTAATAGTTTTTTTCAAAACAACAAGGACATTAAAAAAAAATAGTCTCAGATGTCTTTTCATCAAACGAAGAAATAATAAATCTCTAACCAGCAGAGCTTTGTCAAATAAAAAATATATAAATATGTTATATCTATATTTTTAATCGTTACTATTCATTTAGTATTTGAAGTGTTAATCAAATTTCACGACAAATCAGTTGTATGATATAGATACTCCACATTGTGATAACGATATCTGTCGATATTTTAAAAACTACAAGATACCACATAAATATACGTACATATAGTATATATATATATATACTAACAAAAAATGTACTAAATTTTAATAAATATTTGAATAGTGCTAACTAAATATTTATTAAGTGTAAACATACACGTATATCTTCATTTCATACAAGAATTTGATACAAGAAGAATTTAAGTAGTATTTTTTATTGAATAAATAATTATTTACTATAAAGTTTTAG